ATTGTTTTGGGATAGACGGTGGGATCTGGGTGGCGTTGGACTCGGTGTGGTTCATCTGTTTTTCTTGTCTGCCTTTTATCATCCTATTAATACTTGAAATCACCCACCGAGAGGTTGAACAGGATCGGATCTCTTCTCTCCCCCTTCGTCTTGTCTACTGTTAGGTTCAGGTTTAGGTTCATCCCTCCCAACCCAGCCCCACCCCCCTATTTCGCCCCCTTGACATACTCCTCAAACACCGCCGCCGGCACCTTCCCCTCCTCCAGCCCCTCCGAGAACATCCCGACGTTGTTATGGATCTGGAAGCTGCTCGCGCTGTTAGCGGGCTGCGCCACTGCCGTCTTGCTGACCGCCCACGCGAACGTGTTGGTCCCCGTCGCGCTCAGCCCGCCCCCGCTCCACTGGCTGCAGCCCTTGCACACTGCCTCGACCGTCCAGTGCGTGCTGTTGCGCGAGGCCGAGACGGTGTGGTACGTTGCTGAGGGGTAGAGGTCGGGGAGGGTGCGGCCGCTGTGGTGGTGAGAGGGGGTTGGTTAGTTGGGTGGCTCTTTTGTTGTTGTTGTTGTGCTGTTGCTTGTGGGGTAGGGTGGGTTGAGTTGGGGGGAGAAGGAGTAAAGAGGGAGGGAGGGAGCCGCGGGTATGGTATGACGTTTTGGTTTAAAGGGGTGAAAGGGGGGGAAAGATAACATACGTCGACCACCGCGAGGAAACGGTCGCGCTCTGACCGTTCGGCCACACCACCGCCAGCGGGTTGAGCGTCATGCCGCCGCCCCAACTAAAGCCGACCCAGCCAAGCGATGCCGGTGCGACGATCTGCAGGAGCGTGTCGAACGGTGTGTTGGACGACGCCGTGTCGGGCACGGCGATGCGGAACACGGGTACCGTCGGGCCCCACGAGTACTCCAGATAACAAATCTGCGATTCCGGGTTACAGTACTGCCCCGTGGTCTGGCGCTTGTCTAGCGCTGCCGGCGAAGCGTGGGCTTCCTGGCTGCCGCCGAGCAGCAGCAGGGGGAGTAGGAGGGAGATGGTGTTGGAGAAGACGTGCATATTGGTGGCGCGGAGAAGTGAGGGAACCTGGATGGCGGGAGCTGGGAAATGTTCTGGAAGGTCGGCATGGAAGAGTATATTAATATCTTTGTGTGGCACCTGCTTTACTTGACTCTTCTAAACGCCGGTCTTCCCGACTGGGAAGGCGAGGGATCGCCGTCCATGTTGACGCAGCAAGGGCCTTTGATTCATGTATGTCAGGCACACTCCGCGCCGGATAAAAGGGGGATGGAGGAGCCAATATCGCCCATCCGTCTAGATCGAGGGCGGATTGTCGTGGCACGTGGCGTCGCCTGGTATATAGGACATATTATGCCCGCCCCATCAAAGCTTAGGCTGAACATCACCAGTCCAGGATTTGGCCCCATGTTGTTCCCAGAGTCCCAGCCACACTGCCTTTGTGCAGGTAAACAACCTGGAAGTCAGCGAATGCTCCATTTAATTTTCTGGTCATGATTACCTATCTCACAGCAGATGATTGGAGGATGCCAGGCCATGAGGTCGTAGCCAAACTTAAATACGAAACATGGAGAATGTTACGCCGAGGACATGATCTTGGGAAAGCTTAAAAGTGAATTCGTGCAAAATTATGGAAATATGCCATCTCGTTCAAAAAGGCGTCAAACTGGCCTAATTAATTCCTGACCCAGAATGGCGTTCTGCTCAAAGAATAGAGCGGCTGCTGCTTTGCGATCAGTGCTGCATGTTGAATATCTGCCTCGGTAGATAAGAAGAAATTACCTCATAGGTAAGGTAGCTATAAAATGTCATGCTAAGCAGTTTATATGCATGCTTGGGGGTTCATGGTGGTTGGCAAGATAGAGACCGGGGTTTGGAAGACTTATCCTGAGTCGTGGTGTGAATGATGGCGGCAGGCAACGAAAAGTCGAAAACGTCCCTTATAGGCACAGGGACCATGGATATAACCCCAAGGACTCGTCCATATATTTCTCGGTGGTCTCCTTAGTCCAGTATCCAAGTTCGAAACTTGACGGACGCGCAAATGCAACGATTCTTCGCCGCTTCCCAGGCCGCAGGCGAGGAAGCCGTTGTCCCCATGACGAAGACGACAAGCAGTTGCGAACCTAGATAGCCACGCAACTGGGCCTTTTCGAGTT